CAATTTGGCTATATGGTGGAACTGAATCACCATATTTGCTTGCTATGATAGGTTATACTAAGTATCCTTGTAAAATGTAAAACCATGCGTGTTTGTTTGTTTGTTTGCTTTTTGTGTGTGCTGTTTCCTAATCTCTATTCCAAATATAAGACAAACTAGGGTCTGCAACAGTAAAATAAACCAATTGGGTCAAATAAAAAAGTAAGTTTAGGTCAGCAGTTAGTATAGTATGTTAATCAAGCAAAGTCAGTCATCCAGGATGATAACAGAAATACATACATAACAAAAATAATCTGGAGTACTTGTCACCACTGCACTATAAGTAGTATTGTTCCTTTGTGAACTGGGAGCAGCAGATATTATTAGATATTCCACTAGCAAAGAGGTGGAATGGATAAGGTGTGAACAGACATGCTGGTGATAATAACCAAGGCGAGGACAGAAGAACATGAAAGCTTATCTTTTACTCATATAATATCCTGGTGGCCATAGAGATAGGTGCATAGAGACTATCAAATCAAATAAAGACATTACCAACCTCTAAACAATCACAGCTAGAAAATAGCTTTATATTTACTATGAAATCATTTTGCTGTAGAAACACACCTTAAATTATAAGACATTAAATCAAATAGATTGATTTTACATCAGCCTTGAACAAATAATCGTCACTGTGTGACCTAACACATTCACACTTTATCAAGAACAGGCCAGGTCATTTTGTTGTACTTATTTTTCTTCAGTGCAATTACATGGGGCACAATGTTATTTTTGGCGCAATATACACAAACATTGAATGGTTTACATGACAGTTGGTGGACATTTAGATAGGTATGATTAACAAAATCCTTTCCGACCTCTTACTTACATTTACTGATGGAGGTAGGAAATTGTATTATGGAGGAGGAGGAGACAGTGAAAGTGTATTTTGTATTTTATTTTTTCCTAGTAAACTAGTTAAAATATGTGTTATTTGGGATTTTAAATATATATGTATGTTTAGTTAATTTGGGTTTGGTGACTGCTATTAAGTTAAGATTACTAGCATATCAAAATTTGAAAACTTTTAGTTATGAAACCGGTATATGTAGTGGTAAAAAAAAATAGATGAAAATCATAGGTTTATAAGCAGTGGTGTAGCGTGGGCTGGCAAGTATTGCGCCCCTTAACGCGTGGACCATTACCACTTCCCACGTGCCTGAATGGGCGCCTACATAGTCTTGCTCACAACTGTCTCATCTCAGTGATGTAACAATTTAACAGGCATTATATAATACACTGTTAAGGATGACATGAGGACAATCTGGCTGTAATCAGCAAGAAAAATACTATAAAATGTTATTTGGCAATGTTTATTTTCCCTGTCATGCTGAAAAACGGAGTAGAATGTTTTAAAATCAAGAGATTTTCTGTGTGAGGGGGAGGGCAAGCTAATTTTTTTATATATTACTACTTTTTTTTCTTGTTTTGAAATTTTGCACCACTAAAAATTTTGCACCCAGAGCACCTGCCCCTACGGCCCCGCACACGCTACACCGCTGCTTGTGAACTACTCTCAAAATCAGGACAACGGGATGAATCTGTTTTCACATATTTTTTCTTTATCTGCACTAGTTGTCGACAAATCACAATAGGTAAAACTGTAAATTCAACATATCTAGATCAAAATTTGAAAAACAGGATTTCAGATTGATATGGTGTTGTGTAATGACAGATTTTACAGTATTACATTGTGATTGAGACTTCAATGTTCAGCTGGACAAAAAACAAGCATTAGCCACAATGATTTAAACAAAATGACATGCAGACTTACATATCAAGAATGGTTCTGGATACAATTTGAATTATTTTTTGTACAAACTTGCTGTAATCTAGATATGTATACAGGTTTATGTTATTAGAGATGTAAGAGTAAGTAATCAATGTGCACAGCAATATTAAAAAGAGAAAAACATGTAAAGTGCCTTGGTACCGGAGTCCTTTCCTGCTTAGCTAATTGGCTATGAATGTTATATTATCGCTTCCAGCCAATTAGCTAAGCCCCGTAATGCACTGTTACATAGTTACATAGTTACATAATTACATAGCTGAAAAGAGACTTGCGTCCATCAAGTTCAGCCTTCCTCGCATATGTTGTTGCTGTTGATCCAAAAGAAGGCTAAAAACCTAGTCTGAAGCGCTTCCAAATTTGCCACAAACTAGGAAAAAATTCCTTCTTGACCCCAAAATAGCAGTCAGATGTCTCCTTGGATCAAGCAGCTATTACCCAACGAATTAGAAATTATATCCATGTATGTTATGTTTTTGTAAGTATTTATCCAAATGCAGTTTAAACCTCTGTAGTGACTCTGACAAAACCACCTCTTCAGGCAGAGAATTCCATATCCTTATTGCTCTTACTGTAAAAAAAAAAACCTTTTCTTTGCCTTAGATGAAATTTCCTTTCTTCCAGCCTAAATGTGTGACCTTGTGTCCTATGTATAGCCCTGTTTATGAATAGATTTCCAGATAAAGGTTTGTACTGGCCCAGAATATATTTGTATAAAGTTATCATATCCCCTCTCAGGCGCCATTTTTCATAACTAAACAGATTTTTTTTTGTTTTAACCTTTCTTTGTAACTAAAATGCTCCATTCCTTTTATCAATTTTGTAGCTCGTCTCTGCACTTTTTCTAGTGCCATGATATCTTTCTTTAGAACAGGCGTTTGACTACTTACAGTGGGGGTGTGTCAGCGTACTGTTGGTACCCTAAAAACTACAGCGAGCAGACACAGGACACCTGTAAAACATGTTTAATGACCTGCATCTTAGGTGGGAGGTTACTTCCGACAAAAACTCTGTGCAGTGAGTGTGAAAGGGTAGAGAACATGACAGAAAGTCCTATCCCTGCTCCCTATTTGCACATTTTGCTCCAAATTCTCAATGGAGATTCCCAGGTGTGGGTAGCCATAGTTCAAATACATACTACAGGTTCACTTTACAAGAGACACTGTAGGCACTATAACAATTTCATTTCATTGAATTAGTTATGATGCCTGGAGTCCCCACACTATTCAATGTTTTTTTTTTTGTTTGTTTTTTAAATATGTCTTTATTAAAGTGTTTTCAGTGTTTTATATAAAGAGTTTCAGAAGTTCTCGCAGGACAGAATATATGCATGGAGCACATAACGAAACATACAGGGGATAGACAACATGTTCCAAGCAGTACGTAATCACTGCGGCTTCAAACAGTCTCAGAATCTCTGAAGAGACTGAGTATGCTAGAGAATTACATAAATGCATAGAAAATTTAAGATCAAAAGCGACACAAAGACTTGTTTTGGAAGCAAGCTCTCTGGGTACTTATGGCCCAGACATGCCCAGCAAGGTTTTCATTCATGGTACACAGATGCCTCATACGGGTTATTACACTGTGATTAAAGTTAGGCATTCCATTTGTAGTGTTGTGTGGCATGCCCAACCCCGCAGATGCGCCCTATGCTCCCCACCACGCACACTATTCATTCAATGTTAACACATTTTTTATAGCAGTTTACCACTAAAAAATGGTCCCTGTCCCCCACTGGAGATATGGCTAATGCATAGATTGCACACTTTATTCTATCCATGCCAATTCATCCCAGCACTGGGTGCTGTAAAAGGCTGAAAGTGGTCAGCAGACAATCTAAGCCAGGGGTGAGGAACCTTTGTCCCTCCAGATGTTTTGGACTACATCAGCCATAATGCTAGCAAAGCATCAAGGTAGATGTGGTCCACAACATCTGAAGGGCCAAAGGTTCCCCACCCCTGCTCTAAGCCAATCACAGACACTAATTGTTGCTCAGACTAATAATTCTTCATTTACCCTAGCAGCACAGAGAGGATGGATTGGTGGGGATTAAACAAAACTATACACGCGATAACCACTTTAATTAGATAAAACAGTGCCTACAGCGTTCCTTTAAGTTTAAACTAATAGGAAGACTTGACATTTTGAATAAAGAGTAATTCTGGGGCAAAGTTCTAAAATGGAATGTTCCTGCTGATTGTTCTCTTCTAGAACTTGCCCTAGATTTAATCTTTATGCATAACCCACTTTAAGTCCAACTTGCATGTTTATAATTAAAAGTTTACTCCAGGCACCATGACCACTTCGGTGATCTGAATTGCTCAGAGTGCCTAAAGTTAAAATGAAATGCAGCACATACAGAGTTTAACTTCTCTGCTGATGGAGGTGAAATTCCACCTCCGGCACCATCATAGGGCCTCATAACCCAGCCTGGAAATAGGGTTCCAGACTGGCTAATGTCAATTTTGTGCATATTCCTAATAATTGGCGCAATGAGAGAGCAATGAGCTGACACTCTCAACCAATTAATGACTGGCATAATCAACTCCAAGCATCTGCATCTCTGCTGGCATGGAAAGTTATCACTGGCCACTGGAAGACCCTCTCCAGTGTCCCAAGTATAAAGCAAAACTGTTGCAAAATGATTTGCGCCATTACCAGGAAACCAGGTCAATATACTGCTGGGACCATAACTACTACAGCATAGCGGTTATGATGTTTGGAGTAATAAAGGCAAGAGGTGGTATAACTCAATGTATCTTGCTGTTATAACATATACAGGATTATTGGCTAAATTGAGAATTTAAAACTTTAGGCCAAAATAGCTTGGAAGACACCCCCAGGTCAAGTTTGCCTAAAATTTGACATTCACTGTGAATATCCTCCAATTAACATTCTCGTAAATACTCTTGATAGTCTTGTGAAAACTACCTTTGTAAAAACATTCATATTCTTCTGCTGATATTGCAATTTGAATGTGAAATCTAGTTGAGCTATTCATAAATGTATTAGTTATTTATTAAAAATATAAAAATAAAAAATGAAAATAAACTACCCAGGTTCGTAAGCAAAATTAACAGCGTCACTTTGTTTTTCCCTCAAAAAAAATAAAAACTTTAAAAAAATAAAACATGTTGGCGATACCCAGATGCATGGCATCGCCCGGCCGCTAGGGGTCTCCCTTCGATTCCAGCGCGCACAGCCTTCACCTCTCGCTGGTTTACTGTCCTAGTGAAATCTCGCGTGTCCGGCCTTCTCTTCCTCTTTCTCACCCAGCTCGGCAAGATGGCAGTCGGCAAAAATAAGCGGCTGACTAAAGGTGGCAAAAAAGGTGCCAAGAAGAAGATGTAAGTAGAAATACATGGCGGGCTGGCAGCGTAGGTTCCCGGGGATGCGATCACGGTGTCGGTGTTGGTGAGGGGTGCAGGATGGCTGTGATATAGGACGGATGTTAGGCGGTAGTACCCCGGCTCCATGATCTGCAGCCATGGCTGGTGCGCGCTATGGTGCGCTGATACAGCCACATACATGGCATTGCTCATTGTATTGCTATAGGGCCCTGTGTCCCTGCCTCTGGGGGTCCCTGCCCCTGCTGTATGGCTTGCAGAGGCCCTGGGTAGGATCATGTCCCATGTCTGGGCCTGCTAGGCTGAGCTTACATTCCCTACACATGGGCTGCCTGCATGTGATCTGTGTCTGTCCTATACCCTTCCAACGTGTAATGCAGAGAGTGTCTCTCCTTGGAAGACCTTGTTTGGCATGTAAAGAATGGGTTCATGATATTCTATTTTAGGGAAAATGTAGCATTCCTGGTGAGTCCTGTGTTTTTACAACGTGCATTGCCTTAAGTCTATTTAAAAAGCGCCAACAAATTCTGTAGTGCTGTACAATATGTGGACATGTAATTGCAACAAAACGAGGTGGATGCTCGGGAACTGAGGGTTGAGAGTGCTGTTTAATTGTGCTTACATCATACAGGGGTATTCTAGTTTTAGATTTGTTGGTTATGTCAAATGTAAGCTTATTGATTTTTATTTTTTTTTAATTTTGCTAGAGGTAACTGGGAAACCCTTTTTATAGCTAGTGGTGTGACAAGTTTACTTGTGTTGTGAGTTAATGCTGAATTTGTCTAACTTTGGTTTGATGGACAGCTGAAAGTTTGTGTGTCATACAGGCATTGTTAGTCTTTTGAGCAATCTATTCTTATTTCTTTTTAGTGTTGACCCGTTCTCCAAAAAAGATTGGTATGATGTTAAGGCACCAGCAATGTTCAACATTCGTAACCTGGGGAAGACTCTGGTCACCAGAACACAGGGAACCAGTAAGTACCACTTGTTTATATCCTTAAGTAAACTGCTAGGACTAACTGAGCAGGCCATTACATTTGTTACTCTAATTTTATTAATGAGTAATAAGTTGGTGCCCTATGATATATCCCTTTTCATTTTTGCAAAATGCTTGACAAGCTAATCTTTGCATTTTTATGTTCGCATATCCTAAAGTTTTTTTTGTTTTTCTTTTGATTTCAAACACCATGAATACTATTAAAACTACTGCTAAAAGCAAACTTGCATTACAACCAGTAGTTATGGTTTGGTCTCTGAGAGAAATTGACTTTTCATGCTCCTATTTTGCCTCTTACTATCTAGTTTACATCGTGCTGCTCATCGCTCTCACAGAACCAGCAAGAATATTTTTAAAGACATGCTACCTTCATAATCCTTGTTAAATCTGTACAGGAGACGTTTAAACACTGTTTTGTTTTTCGTTTTTACTCTATTGACAGTAAATATGTGTATTTGTGTGAATTATTCAAAAATATTTCTCTCCACCAATGCAGATAATAGTAGTATGTTCTCAATAAATTATTAGTCTATTGAATTATTTTTAATTTCTTCTGCTGCATATTTGGAATAGCTTTATTCCTTACGATTTCCATCCATTTAAACAGAAATTGCCTCTGATGGGCTCAAGGGTCGTGTCTTTGAGGTGAGCCTTGCTGACCTGCAAAATGATGAAGTGGCTTTCCGTAAATTCAAGCTGATTACTGAAGATGTCCAGGGCAAGAACTGTCTAACCAACTTCCATGGCATGGATCTGACCCGTGACAAAATGTGCTCCATGGTCAAGAAGTGGCAGGTAGGACCTTGTCTTCATTCTCTTATGTGCATCTTGCAGCAGGTTATTGTAAGGCACTACTCCTGATTAAAGCAATGACTGGCAAATTGTACTACAGTTACAGAATGTGCACTGAATCCTAGCGAACAAGAGCATTCTTAATTCCACATTTGCATGTATTTCCTCCCCCCCAACCCCATGCAGCATGTATATACCACTTTATTGAGCAATATAGACTGCCAAAATAAAGGAGTGTCTAATACTGTAAAACGTTTGCATCCATTTGCAATCCTGATCAGTGCATGGTGTAAAATTACTTGTCCCCAGACAACTTATATTGGGCTTACTTGCAATCTTGTATTGTGTGAATGCTCACTATTTGTTATTGACTAGCATGGTGTAAAGTGTATGTATTACCTCATATGCATGCGAAAAGCAGTTTCTTTGACTCTCCATGTGCTTGATACTGCATCTACTCATGCCTACTCTCAATGGGATAAGTTTGTGTATGTGTCTTGGTGTGCCTGAATTCACTGATTTATATATGAGTATAGTGATTCTTTGGAGGGCTACCACCCCCTTCTAGTTAAACTTTAAATCTCTAGATCTTAGAGGTATTTTCACTAAATGGCAAAATTCTGACTAGAAAGGTGGAAGAATTTCGTCAGATTTTTGCCGTTTGGATTTTAATGAATAACACATTTAGAGTAAATATCTTTCTCTGTGGTGAAACATGACAAGATATTGGTCGTATATGACCTATTGTGATTATGGTTTGATATTTCTCTGACTTTCCCTATTCTGAGAATTCTAATATTCAGTGTTTATTCTTGTAGTTCAGTTGATTTCCTTAGTCTACCCATTTCTTTCCATGGGAATGTGTTTAACATATGATTTTATGCTCTTCATATTGCTAACCTAGTTTATGTCCCAATTTTCTTTTTATTTGGGGAGAAGTGGGTGCAGGGGGTGTACAGCTTTCTCATTGAAGTGATTATAGTGCCTGAAGTAAGCTGGCACACTCCGTCCATTAAATAAACCGTTTAAATGCTAAACAAGAGTCCCTGCATCCTGTCCCCATTTTTGTTGATTGGGCTAACACAGCATTAGCCTGAGTAGCAATGATTGGCTGTCAGCTGACTACCATTGCGCCTAAGAATCGTTATTTCTACGTGAAGTGTGTAAGTTCTGCTTTAGCCAGACCTCCAGTGGGGGTCATGGTGTGGAAAACCATGGATCTCCGGTGTTAAACTACTTGAAAGCTGTTTAACGCTGAATGGAGTAACAGTACCAGGGCACTAATACCACTTCACTGAGATTAAATGGTTCGTGGCTACAGTGTCCTTAAAGGCACACTGCAAAACTAGCTTGCTTAAAGTTTTTGTGTGGATCATGTCCCTGCAGTCTCACTGCTCAATTCTCTGCCACTTAGGAGTTAAATCACTTTGTTTATGCAGTCCTAGCCACACACCTCTGCATGTGACTTACACAGCAATGCTAAACATGTCCTGTAAAGTAATATCTAATGTTTACACTTTTATTAATGCAAATTCTGAATTGAGCAGTGAAGCTTCAGAGGCATGATCTATACAAAAAACTGCGTCATTAGCTAAAGTTGTATTTGTGCCTATAGTGTCCCTCTAAAGTTTAGAATCTCCTGCATTCAAGGAGTATAGTGTAAACTAGTTACATTGAGCATGGCTTCTGATTTAAAGAAAATAAGGGGGGATGTGAGGGGGGCTGTGTTGCTCTATTGTTGCATGACCCTGAGATGTGATAGACATATTAATACACAGTGATCTACTGTGGAGGTGTGCTTTTAGCTAGTACAGATCGGCACAACCTCATACTGCTGGCTGAGGTTTTTAAAGGAACACTCCAAGCACCATGACCACTACGGCCCACCGTTTGGCATGGTTTGACAAACTCCTGGATTTCCTGTGGCGTCTGCGTCACACGCAGACTTCTCCTGCCTGGAGAACCTGATTCTCCTGCAGGATGTAGGATATGGTGCCTGGCGGGAAACATGTAAGCTGTACCACTGTACTAAAATGGTTAGACTACTTAAAGTGGGTTTATTATGGTGCTTGGAGTGTTCCTCTAATTCTGGAGTCTCCAAGAACCAGAAGACCCCAACCACCACCACCTTCAAGTCTGTTTTTGAAATTGAGCCTTTGAATTCTGTCTAAGGCTGCCTTTTCTGTCTCCATTTGTTGTAGTTGCAGCATGTGAGAAAGAAATGGAGACTTAGCTGGCTGTGTTAAGTGCAGAATGGCACATAACCTAGTACTGGTTTTGCTGTGATGTCCACCTATATTATAATATATTGTATAACATACTAATGTTACAATGTGGATATAGTGTAGAGCAATACTTTTTTTTTTTTTGGTACCCAGTATTTCCTGGACACCTGTAACTTTGTATTCAACATAGCAGCATGTGATTTATCAAGCCTTCTGTGCTTTGTACCTCACAATACATAAACAACTTGCCATTATCCATATCTGCTATTGATATATATATATAGTTTGCACAGTAGGCACCCAGACCACCTTAGCTCATTGAAGTTGCTTGGGTACAGTGTCCCTAGAATGTTAACATTGCAGCACTAAGTTAGACTCTACCAGAGGAGGGCTTCATGATTTGAAAAGGGACCTTTGGTCCAGTATCTGACGCTGTACGTCCTCGTGCTATGCATGAGCACATCCGGCATCAGGCTTTTTTTTTTTTTTTTGTGTGTAGGAATGCATTGATATAATTCTTTCCTACGGGATGATCTAATGCCTGCGTGGTATTTGAGCGCAAACACATTAGAGCATGCTGAGGAGGAGCTTTGCCCCAGCGTCGAGGGACAAGGTAAGTAAATATATAATTATATTTTGAAATATGGATGCTGCGTGGTATTTAAACTAATTAACTTAAAACACAACACCCATATCACACATCCATTCCACTTAAAGGGACTCTTCAGTGCCAGGAAAACATATCCGACTAAAACCCCATCAGTGACTTACCTGAATCCTTCTGCACTGGGTCAGGCTTCGCCCATGCTCCTCCCCCGCCACCGTCACCTGGCGGGGAGACCCAAGGCGCATCCGCACAATGGTCGCATGCGTGCATTAGACCTCCCCAAAGGAAAGCATTATTTAATGCTTTCCTATGGGGATTCCAGCAACGCTGGAGGTCCTCATGCATAGCGTGAGGACGCCCAGCGTCATTAAAAACACTTTTTGTGTTCTAAGCCACTAGAGGAAGACTTAACCCTGCAAGGTAACTGCAATAATTACACTTGCAGGGTTAACGGTGGTGGGAGTTTTGGCACCCAGAACACTCCAATGGCCGGAAGTGATCTGGGTGCCTGGAGTGTCCCTTTAATGTGCCATCCCTGAAGGTACAACACTTGCAAAAGGCCTCCATTGCATACATCACTCATTTCTCTGCAGCAATAGACCTAGCACAAATTATGTCCCTCTGTTTTTTTTTTGTTTTTTTTTCACCTTCCTGTCACTGACTCTTATGTCTAAAGGTCTTTAGAATTGTACAGTAAACTTGCAAGATGCAATTCTGGATCCTGTGACATGATTCCTTGTGTTAACGTTTAGTTTTGCTTTTAGCTCTGTGAGCCACAAAGTCTGCTTGCACCGAATCTGGCATCAACGCGCTCCATAGACATTTTTGGACAATGGAAACACTGTTATCTTATAAACTCTTGAGTTGTTAGGAATTACTATTGCAAATGTGCAATAGTAACACTTCCAGTTCCATGGTTAATTCCAGGTAATTAAATTTTAGGAAATAATCGTGATGCTTATCCTCTAGTGAGTGGTTATACAACTCTTTGCTTTGTAACTTTGCATACTGTAGGAGACATGTTGCATTCTGGGAAATGTACCACTAGCAGTTTGATTCCCAGAAATCTCCTGGTGTTTTCTTATTTGAGTCAGGGGGAGAGGTGCATGCATTTGCAGTGGCTTCTGTTTTACTTTTAAATAAAAAAAACTTTCGTAAGTGTATGTTTGGCATTTGTTACAAACTAAACAATGCCTGTGTATTCTGTAATTGTTCCATTCAATGCAATATGAACCCTGCCTGCCAGTTCCTGTAACATGCCTTTTACAAAAACTGCAGTGCGAAGTCTGTATGCTTCTAAGGAAAATCTTTATTTAGGCACAAATGGCGAAACACATATCCAAGTTTTCACATTTGTGTTTTACTTTTGTTATACAGCAGAAATACAATACGTACAAATATGCACTTATCCATGCGGGGTCTCATCCAGGCCAGAATTTTTAATGTCCAGGACCGGCCCTGAGTTTCCATAAACCCCTCCATGTAATCCTGTCCTTGTATAGCTGTTAGACTAGTACAGGGGTAGGCAACCTATGTCACTCAAGGTGCCATGCACGTCACTCAAGGTGCCATGCACGTCACTCAAGGTGCCATGCACGTCACTCAAGGTGCCATGCACGTCACTCAAGGTGCCATGCACGTCACTCAAGGTGCCATGCACGTCACTCAAGGTGCCATGCACGTCACTCAAGGTGCCATGCACGTCACTCAAGGTGCCCTGCACGTCACTCAAGGTGCCCTGCACGTCACTCAAGGTGCCCTGCACGTCACTCAAGGTGCCCTGCACGTCACTCAAGGTGCCCTGCACGTCACTCAAGGTGCCCTGCACGTCACTCAAGGTGCCCATGCACGTCACTCAAGGTGCCCATGCACGTCACTCAAGGTGCCCATGCACGTCACTCAAGGTGCCCATGCACGTCACTCAAGGTGCCCATGCACGTCACTCAAGGTGCCCATGCACGTCACTCAAGGTGCCCATGCACGTCACTCAAGGTGCCCATGCACGTCACTCAAGGCTGCTAGAGCCAGAGAGGCTCTGGCCTATCAAGAGTCCCAGTGAAACTTGTGATATCTGCTAATACGAAGAGGTGGTGAAGGACAATCCTCAATTTATGCATTGCAGCACATAGAGGAAGTGATCTCAGATCACTTCCTCCCAGCACTTGTGAATGGGAATCCACACTGTAGTAGAGCAGCTGCTATTGCAGCTCCTGTCCTTGACCTGTGCCTGGTCCCCACTGGAACCCAGGGAGCCACCCACACTGCTAGATATACACAGAAATGCAGAATAACTCTCCCCTCACAAATAATACGAACAGCCTACACACAATCCCCACAAACGCAACACCACTAACAAGCCACATACATGCACACAACGCCACATGCAGCCTCTCACATGCAATAACCCAAACAGCCCCCACACACTACCAAACACACAGTGACATATCCATCCACACACAATTCCACAAGCAGCCCTCATACACAGCCCACATTCATATGTATCATACACGATACCATAAACTACTAATGAACATATACAATATAATAGCTCATATACGCACAAATACGATACAAAGCAATTACAGTAAAAATAACACAAGCAGAATACGGCCCCATATACACCTAAATTTAAAAAAAAAAAAATAGGATTGGACATCACAATCCTATATCTGCACAGTACAGCTAAAAGGTTGCCTACCCCTGGACTAGTAGGCTGACATGGATGCCTGCAATACTAACGTACGTGTTCAAAATATAAATCTTCTAAAACACTTTAAATGTAGATTTTGCTTTTAATCTGGCATTTACAAAATTGTCAAGGCAAAAACTTCCATGCTCTGCCATTTTGAAGCAATCCCTATCTTGCAGTCACGGATAACCGTTTCAACAACTTCCTGCCCTGTTTTTACCGTCTATATTTTAAATACAGGGAGTTTGGATGTCAGATGTATTTTACTGTTTTGTCTTTAAAACTTTTAAGCTTTTATGTAATTCTGCAAATTATTTTGTCCTTGTAGACAATGATTGAGGCCCATGTTGATGTGAAGACCACAGATGGCTATCTGCTCCGCCTGTTCTGTGTGGGATTTACCAAAAAGCGTAATAATCAGATCAGGAAGACATCCTATGCCCAACATCAGCAGGTCCGTCAGATCCGCAAGAAGATGATGGAAATCATGACTCGTGAAGTGCAGATAAATGACCTGAAGGAAGTTGTTAACAAACTGTAAGTTTTCTTAGAAGTGATTTTGTGTTTTTAGTTATTTTGTTCTGAAGGGGAAGAATGATGACGAAGATTCGGTCCCATATGAACGAACGTGATTATGGTTTGAGATCATTCTGATTTTTTTCCATGATCATTTTAGTTTCTTCATCTTGGTTGACTATTCCCATAGACTCTGACTTAGTCTCTTCCTTGTGTATAAATGTCAGGTGACCAGGATTTCTGTCACAAAAAGTCCCGCTTATTTGTCCTTAGCCTTATTTATGTGTCTTACGACATTTCACCTATTAAAAAAAATGCTTTTCCTTACGTCAGTGAAAACTATGTAGTCCGGGCACTCAGGGTCTTTATAAAGCAGCAGATTTATTAGAAAAACATTGCAGTTTCTGTCCCCAATGGGATCTTTGTCAGTCTGACAAAGATCCCATTGTGGACTGAAACACTGCTGTTTCTGCAAGCCCTAGGTATAGTGATGAGTGCGGATCCCTCCCTTGTTTGCCTTAGATCAGGTGATGGTTCTGTAAATGAGCCACAGCAAAAGTTACTTCCAGATTCCAGATTTGGATAATTCGAGAGATGGGAAATTATTCCATTAGCTATAGCTGTATAAAATTATGCAGGCATTTATATTTGTCACTAATTACTTAGGACAATCATTTTCTTTGCAGAACAGTTCAATTTTGCTTTCACCTTGATCCTGCTATGGTGGTGTCTGACTTACTGATTTATTCTTATTAAATACTCACAGGATTCCAGACAGCATAGGCAAAGACATTGAAAAGGCCTGCCAGTCAATCTATCCTCTACATGATGTCTATGTACGCAAAGTGAAGATGCTGAAAAAGCCCAAGTTTGAGCGTAAGTTCCTTTTTTTTTTTTTTAAGTTATTTTTCACCTCCGTAATGTGGAAATATTTTCCGCTGGTTAACATATATTCAGATTTTCATTCCTTGAACTATGCTTTACTCCCCTCCATGCGAGATACAACAATTGACACTCTTACAATTCTAAAATGGTTGTAACATAGACTAGATTAGATTTCTTAGATGTCTGCATTCAGTTTCTCTGGCCTTAGTGCCATATCATCTATCACTAATGTATATCATGGTTTCTCTTTTAGTGGGCAAACTAATGGAACTGCATGGAGAAGGTGGTAGTGCTGGCAAACCTGCTGGCGATGAGACTGGCGCTAAAGTGGAGCGGGCTGATGGTTATGAACCCCCAGTACAGGAATCTGTCTAAAATGGTTAAACTGAATTTGGCCCTGTAAAATAAACACATGTTCATAAAATGTTCCTGTGTTAGTTTTTTTTTTTTTGGGCGGGGGGGAGTGGATATTTTATATGTAAGTTGTCATGTGATTTCTACCATATGACTTTTTAATTAACTTTATTGCAACAAAATATCCTAATGCTGATATCCAGCTTCAAATCTTCAAGTCATCTCAAAAATGCATTTCTCCTATTTCATTTTCTCTTCTACTTTCAGAATCTCTTTGCTAAATTTCTGTTTCTCTTTAAAACCACTCCTTTTATCTTAAAACAATAAGTGGAGATTGTCTTAGATCCACCCACGGTCAACTATAGGAATACATACGACAAAGTATTCCCTAGTTGTTTTTTTTTTTGGAAGGGGTTGTGTTTTTTTTATTCTTTTTTTAGAGACAAATGAGAGAAAAAAATGTGAATTACGCTAAGAGCGCCGTAGGAGAAAAGCAAGTTTGAGGTGACCGAGCCACTTTTAATTCTGCACTCAAATCACAAAGTAGAATTTAATGACCTGTACATTTGGACAGTTACATAGCTGAAAAAAGACTTGCGTCCTTCAAATTCAGCCTTCCTCACATATGATGTTGTTGCTGTTGATCCAAAAGAAGGCAAAAAACCTAGTCTGAAGTGCTTCCAATTTTGCCACAAACTAGGAAAAAAATCCTTCTTGACCCCAAAATAGCAGTCAGATGTCTCCTTGGATCAAGCAGCCATTACCCCACTAATTAGAAATTATATCCCTGTATGTTATGTTTATGTAAGTATTTATCCAAATGCAGTTTAAACATCTGTAGTGACTCTGACAAAACCACCTCTTCAGGCAGAGAATTCCATATCCTTATTGCTCTTACTGTAAAAAATCCACTTTTCTTTGCCCTAGATGAAATCTCCTTTCTTGCAGCCTTAAGTGTGACCTCGTGCCATATGTATAGCCCTGTTTATGAATAGATTTCCAGATGAAGGTTTGTACTGGCCCTAAATATATTTGTATAAAGTTATCATTTCCCCTCTGAGGTGCCGTTTTTCCAAACTAAACAGATTTAATTTTTTTTAACCTTTCATAACTAAAATGCTCCATTCCTTTTATCAATTTTGTAGCTCGTTTCTGGACTTTTTCTAGTGCCATGATATCTATCTTTAGAACAGGCGCCCAAAATTGCACAGCATATTCAAGGTGTGGTCTTACCAGCGATTTATAAAGAGGCAAAATTATATTTTCATCTCAAATTTATGCCCCTATTTATACATGACAAAACCTTACTGGCCTTAGCAACTGCAGATTGACATTGCATATTGCTACCTAATTTGCTGTCTATAACAATTCCCAAATCCTTCTCGTGTGTGGTTATTCCTAATTCACTACCATTTAGTGTGTAAGTTGCTCGTGCATAACGTTGCATTTCTCCACGTTAAATTTCATCTGTCATTTTAGTGCCCAGTCCCCCAATCTATCCAAATCCCTCTGCAGCAAAGCAATATCCTGCTCACATTTTATTACTTTACAAAGTTTTGTGTCATCTGCAAACACTGAAACATGGCTTTCAATGCCTATTTCAAGATCATTTATAAATATGTTAAATAGAAGTGGTCCCAAAACAGAACCCTGAGGGACACCATTTACCACTTTTGTCCATCCTGAAAATTTACCATTAATTACAACTCGTTGTACTCTATCCTTAAGCCAGTGTTCTACCCAAGAACAAGAATATTCATCTAGACCAAGTTCTTTTAGTTTGAAGACTAACCTATTGTGAGGAACCGTATCAAATGCCTTGGCAAAATCCAAGTAGATCACATCCACTGCAACACCCTAATCTATACTTCTACTTCTTCGTAGAATGCAATTAGGTTAGTTTGACATGACCTATGTTTCATAAAACCATGCTGATTATTGCTAATAACAAAGTTCTTCCCAATGAATTCCTGAATATTATCCCTTAATAGCCCTTCAAATATTTTCTTAGTTACAGAAGTTAAGCTCACAGGTCTATAATTTCCACTCAAGGATTTTGAACTTTTTTTTTAAAATATAGGAACAACATCTGCCTTCCTCCAATCCTCCGGTACAACACCCGAAACAAAAGAATCTTGAAAAATTAAATACAGAGGTTCACTTATTTCCCCACTTAGCTCCTTAAGTACTTGTGGGTGAATACCGTCAGGCCCCGGAGCTTTATTTACATTAATTTTCTTTAATAGCTGTAGCACCTTGTCTCGAGTTATCCAATCACAAGTTTTTTGCAGCAATCATTTGCATATCTCTTGCCATAGGATCCTCATTAATATATACTGAAGAAAAAAAGTTATTTAAAATTTCTGCTTTTTCCTGGTCTTCATTAGCTAATAAACCCAACTCTGTTTCAAGTGTACCTACACTTTCATTTTTTGTTTTTTTAGAATTGATGTACTTGAAAAAAATTTTGGGGTTGGTTTTGCATTCTTTAGCTATCAATTTCTCATTTTCTAGTTTAGCCACTTTAATTGCCTTTTTGCGAGCGTTATTGGCTTCCTTATATCTTAAATAGGATGCCTCTGATTTGTCTGATTTTAAATGCCATTTTCTTATTTTTAAGCTCTTGTTTTACTTCTTTACTATTGGTTTTAATTTTTTTATTTTTATTACCCACTGGTACATACTGAGAAATGTACCTTTCTAATATTTGTTTGAATAGTTTAAATTTATCCTCTGTTTTTATCACTAAGGAGTTTATGCCAGTCGATATGTTGTAGAGCTGCCCTAATCTTATTGAAATTGGCTTTTTAAAAATTATGTTTTGGTATACCCCACATGCTTTTGCTTTTTTGAGTTTTTCAAAATTTAGCATATTGTGATCACTATTTCCCAAATGCTCCCCGACTTGAATGTTGGTTAAAAGATCAACATTGTTTATGACGAGATCCAGACAAGCATCCTTTCTAGTTGGTGCTTGTACCAGTTGTGACATAAAGGTGTAATTTAACACATTCAAAAACCTGATTCCCCTTGCTGAAGTACTAGTCCCTCTATCCCAATTTATGTCTGGGTAATTAAAATCTCCAATAATTAACGTGTTACCTTGATTTGCAGCTTTCGCTCTAACCGCTGTTCTTCCTCAATAATATTTACATTAGGTGGTTTATAAAATATCCCAACCAATAGTTGATTTCCCTTTGTTTGCCCTAAGCAGATATCTACCCATAAAGCCTCCACATTTTCCTCGTCACACTCCACATGCCTAAGATTTGACTTTAACTCATGGTTGACATATAAACATACCCCACCACCCTTCTTGTTTTTCCTATCCTTCCTAAATAACATGTACCCATTTAAATTAACTGCCCAGTCATGTGTCTCATCCCACCATGTTTCTGTTATGTCAATTATATCATTGTTTAGTGTATGCTATTGCCTCTAGTTCCCCCATTTTGTTATATAGGCTCCTTGCACTAGTAAGCATACATCTAATATTATCATGAGTCTTTTGTACTTTTTGTGAATTATCAATATTACATACCTCCCCTGTTCTGAGCTTTCCCCTCCCCCATCTCCACCGCCTCTGTTCCCAGCTAAAGCCCATCTCCTTTCCATCCAATCTCCATTTTCTAGATTGCCTTGACCCCCCTGCTCCCCCCCACCACTAGTTTAAAATCTCCTCCAACCTTCTAGCCATCCTATCCCCCAGCACAGCAGACACTCTTCTGTTTAGGTGCAATCCATCATGACTATAAAGGTTTGTACCCAAGCGCAAAATCGGCCCAGTGCTCTAAAAACCCCAAACCCTCTAACACCTACGCCGACCTTAAGGAAGCTTCCCTAATCGCTGCAGGGTGCCCAGCCGTCTACCGCCAGCTCTGCAGTTGGTAGACCGATCCCAGTGGGTTTGGACTACCAGTTGTTGTCATCGTCTTATATATGGTATGGCCATACAGAACTGTGCAAGAAGTTTGACAAGAACAATGACTGGATGAAACAGAAAAAAGAAACACAACCTTACCTACTATAGCCGAACACGGTTTACCTTAAATATCTTGTGAACAGCATTTTAATTCGAGGCCTGTAACAGTTGGCACGGTCCGTGATGATGCAGAACTATTTCTTCTGATTTTTGTCTTGTAGATGTAGGGGCCCTACTCTGTAGGGATAGTTTGTGTGAATGCTAGAATGTGTTCAATTGTCACTAATACACCATAGATCTGCAATTCTTCTTGAGGCATTGGATTTAACCAGAGATCATCAGGAGTCTCTTACCTGGATCGTGGGATTGGTTATTACAATTCTTGTTTTTAACCATGTGAATGTGATGGCTCTAACATAACGCAACCATGTTTGTATATAACGTTAATGTTTCTTTAATCGGGTATCTTATTAAATTGAAAGTTGTTTGGAATTAAGAGTGCATTTCAAGGAAGCCTACGTGTGGAAACATACTCCAAATGAGCTTTACTATACTTTAACCTTAAATTTTAAAATCAAGTTTGTATTCCCAACAATTCTCACTTTACTAAATAACCCTATATGGTTACCTACCAAGTCACATGCAAGAGGAATGAAAGGAACTTATAAGGAGGGATTCAGACTGGCTGTCAGGGGCCAATATTGCATATCTGCTGCTTTAACACTTGCAGTGCTGGAGTCTCCCACAATATCTGTGTGATGCTGATAGCAGAAGGGAAAAAATATTTAAGGAGAGAAAAACAAGTAGCAAGAGAGGTGACAACAGCTCAATTAGCCTGCCCTTCGGTGGGTCCTGCTCAGATCTCAGGCTGGTTTTAGCTCATCTAGTGCCATTACAGAGAAAACATATCTAAAGCATATCAGACTAGTCCCAAACATACAGGCAGTCCAGATCCCTCAACATGAATGATACAGCATTTCAACCTTGTAAGGTATCGTCAATGAGATAGCAAATATCCCTCTAGGCACCGTGAGCAGATTTCAGTAGAAATGAACCAGCTGGTCATGTTACTTCCTGGTTCCTTAGACTGGGCATTAAACTCGGATGACAAGCAATTGCCCAGAGCTCCTGCCTTACAAAGATTTCTTATGGAGTTGCATTGTGAAGTCTGTGATTGGACAGCCATGGAACATCTAGGTGGAATTAGAAGGGAAGGAGACAAAAGATCTGCAGAGGTGTGTGTATGTGTATATATATATATATATATATATATATATATATATTATACACATATATATATACATACACACACACAGAAAAAAAATGAATGAGTATAAGATATGCATGTTTTCATCAGAGGCAGACCTACTAAATATGACTTTTTGGCATCTGGGTAATGGAGTGTTTCTTTAACACCTATGCCAACCTTAAGGAAGCATCCCTAATCGTTGCAGGGTGCCCAGCCGTCCACCGCCAGCTCTGCAGTTGGTAGACCGATGATCTCAGTGGGTGTGGACTGCATGACTACCAGGCAGGCCCCCTGCAGCAACTCTTGCTGGGGCAATACACCTAAATGGTGGTTTTAACATTCTAGGGTCAGGACTACATCTTTGTATCCATGTCCCTATAGTATTCCTTTACTGTATTAAACATATACATAATCAGTGGCGTACATACCAGGGTCGCAGCAGGGGCCCCTGCGACCCGGTATGTACCCACAGGGCCAGCCTCTTCCCCTGGGGGGGGCCAGGAGCCGACCACCCCAGGGCCCCCCGAGGCTGGCCCTGCTGTCACCCGACAGGCGGGCGCGCGAGGGAGCACTCACTGAGTGCTCCCTCGCGCGCTGGCCAGACAGCGAGCCCAGGAGCACCACTGGACCCCAGGGAATCCCCCCAGCACTCCAAAAGGTAAGGAGGCTAGGGGATTAAATTTAAAAAAAAAAAAACATGTGTGAGTGTTAGTGTGAGTGTGTGTGAGTGTTAGAATGTGAGTGTTAGAATGTGAGTGTTTAGAGTGTGTGTGAGTGTTAGTGTGTGTGAGAGTTAGAGTGAGAGTGTGTGTGTCTGTTAGTGAGTGTCAGTGAGTGTGTTACTGTGTGTGTCTTACTGAGTGTGCGTGTGTGTTAGTGAGTCTGTTTGATGTCTGTTAGTAAGTTTGTGT